ACTTCTCCAGTTTTATAGCATAATTTGCTTGTGATAAATTATCGCAACCTTGCTCTGCTTAAACCTAACTTGCTGCACTTGGCTGTTTCATAATAAGACTCTGCTTGATGTGGTTTATTGTAAAATAATTAGAGCCTGAGGGGCTTGATGCCTTTTTTTCCCAATTATCTGATGGTAAACTAACTCCTGCAGTCTCCAGCAGCTTTTAAACTCCTGGATGAAGGGCAGCAAGCCATGGGATCAATTATAATTTAATTAAACAAGAAAATCCACTGCATTCTGTAAAAGGGGAAAAAGCAGACTTTCTGGCAGTAAAACAATTTCTTAAGTCAAGTTATCAAATCCCTCCCTTAATAATTACTTTATATAAGGGATTTGTCACAGAATGTCTCAAAGTGTATTAAAATTAGAAACGGAATGCATGTTAGTTACAGAATGCAGATATTGTTATAAAATTATGTCTTGGCAATAACGAGATGCATGAAAAAGTTTTGATCCTTTAAGGGTTATCTAGAATGCTCGTCATACATGTGACAAGACAATGGTCTGATAGGGAAGTTGTTTTGGACAGATAATCATATATTTTAAATGGAGTAGTGTTGTATATGTGTGTGTATGTATGTATGTGTATATATGTATGTATGTGTGTATGTATGTGTATATATGTATGTATGTATGTGTGTGTGTATTTATGTATGTGTATACATGTATGTACAGTGTGTGTGTGTGTATATATATATATATATATATATATATATATTTCATTTATTTATTTTATTGTATTTTTTTATAAACAAAGCCTTTATCCTTAGGCCTCATGCACTGTGGTTGTTCTGCCAACTCTCATAGATTCCTTTCCTCCTTGCACTCAATCATTAAACTCACCTAGTGTTAACAAGCGTTTAGACACGTTTAAACATGTTTAGGAGCGTCAAACGTTTTCTACCAAAGTGCCACTGCTCCTGGATGCATTGACAGTGTATTTTTTCTGTCTCTAAGTACATGGATACATAGACTAATATGCAGGGGCATTTAGAAGAAAAAAAAAATCCAGGAGCCCCGAGCAGCCACTTTGCAAATGTCCAGTGGGCATGAGGCCTTATGCAATATCCAATAGAATTCAAACAAATTGGCCCTTTTCTTTAGAAAAAAGTGGCAACCATCCCACCTCATAACCGGCCTGCTCATGGAAGGGCAACACACATCTTTAACAAATACAAATTTCCCAGCACACTTACCAGCCAGCCTGCAAAAAAAACGAGTTGACCCTGTCTAACAATTCACATTAAAAACAGGGGGTTTAGTTTGCACACATTTGTAAATATATGAGTAAGCTACAGTGCATACGCAAAAGCACCTCTGTGTACTGTGGTCCTAATGCTATCATTTTCAGAGGTTTCCAAGTTGGAGCATATTTAGCAGTGAATATATTTAAGGGCAGGTTTACCTGTAGGGAGTTCACCTCTCCTTTAAAGGCACAGGACACCCAGCAAGGGCACAATGGCAGCTGAAGGTATCCAGTGTGTCCCCACATGCAATTCAGCCAATTTTACAAAAAAAAATGGCAACCGCCCCAACCTATAACTAGTCTTTGCAGTAAGGTGCACATGGAAGGGGGACACACATCTCTAAAAAGCACAAATTTCCCAGCACACTTGACAGTCAGCCTGCAAAAACACTAATTGACCATGTTTAACAATTCTTTATCCATTAAAACCAGCAACCATATTTAAAATGCACCAAAACTCTACCATTTCTTAGGTATGGTGGCTGACTTAAATTTCTTCTGGCATTTTTTTTCACTGACACATTTCTTGTCTTAGGGTGACTATGCTCACTCACTTCAGTGCATCTACAGATTGGAAGCATTGCTAATCTTGGCTACTCACTCTTGATTTGGACTATAGGATACCTCCCCCTCTCCACAACCTAGGGGAAAGGATTCTGCAGTCCACATAGCTGACAGCAGTGCTTTGAATTTCAGTGCAGCAGACAGAGCACAAAACTGTAGTTCACTAGATTTTTGCCAGTATCAAATTTTTTTTTCAAATATCTTTGCACTTATCCAACAGATATAATAAACCAAATGGCACAGTTCTCAAAATTCTAAGGCAGGTTTGAGTCTTATGCTGGCTGTGAGAAACTTCTTAACAGTGGCATTGAAAAAATGGGAGTAGTTACATGTGCTTCTCAACATTTTTCAGTTTTGACGGGAGTATACAATTAAAACCTTTTAAAAACATTTTACAGTGTAAAAGCTTTAAGCTGGCCATAGATATTGGATCCCAAAGAATCATGGGCTGAGTGCACAAGGACTCCTATTCAGGCCAGAATAGGAGGGTCTGTCCATCCTCTATTGGCATAAACAAGAGTACTCATACACTCTGCCCTAGATACTATTGGATCTGAAGTCAATGGCCATGCACAAACAATCCCAACACCAGGAAAAAAAAATTGCAATCAGGCATAGTTATGTAAACTACATAGTTGTTCTTTGCACTGAGATGGTTAATTTGTAATTGTATTGCACTGCCCTGTTAACACTTGATAGCTGCTCAAAGTGGCCAAAACTGCCTCCAAGCAGAAATATAGCTAGGCTGGTATTCCCTATTATAGGCTTGTGTTCAAATGCAGCACTGCTCAAGCTGCCACCTCCTGAAGATTCAGCCTGACCCTGTGTAGACCAAAGTAGATGCCATAAACTCTTCTGAAGGCATATGTATGTTTGATACCTAGGAATATTGGGCTCTTCTATTCTTAAATCCCAAACAAACTTTTACATTAAATTGTTGAATACACTAAATACATTTCAGGTACATCAAAACCATGGGTATGTAAAGTCTTAGAAAGCAGGCACAGCCTGAGTAGAAAAGCATGTCCCCTGTGTGCTGCAGAGAAGTACCAATGCTCTCCATGTGAAATACCAGTTCCTGGCTGTTATGCTGATCCACTGGCTTCAGTATTTTCACTCACTGTCTCAGAACAAATATGCAAAGTAGGAGGTTTTATGAAGCAGCCTCTACACTAGAAGCCTGGGATATTAATTTTAAGTGAAGTTTGTACAGTATTTTGGAACACAAACTCGACCTGCCAAGTCAACTGCTGGAAAAAAAATCAAATAAAAACTAGAGATGTGCTTGAGGAAGGCCATGCAAGGTTAGGTTGTTTACTGAGGTTGATGGGTAACAAAAAAATCTGTTTAAACAAAAGCTTCCAGGCCACACTCTAGTGCACACCCAAATGTTTGAATATGGTGCCTGCATGGTGGTGTGGCTGGTTCCTAGACTATGGAGGAAAAGAGCGGTCTATGACTAATAGCATGGATTCCAGCATGTTGAAAACTCTGTGAAAAAGTACTTTTAATGATGAACTGAAAACAATATGTAAAAAAAAAAAACAAGGAAAGCAAACTTGTCACAAGCAATATTTGAATATCTTGCATTGTTTGCAAACATTGGGTCATAAGACAATACCTGCTAAATACTATATAGTTTGGTTGATTTGGGAAAGTAATGGTACGCAAAGTGCAGTGACCCATAATATCCAACAGCATTGTTGCACTTTGCTCTGCTTCATTAAATAGTCACACACCGTTTTAGATGGGATTTCTGTTTTTGTTCCGCGAAAAGCACAATGTGTTTATTTTCACTCTGATGTCAGTTATTAATCTTCCAGCGGCCACAAAGGAAAGGAGACAAAGAAATAAAATGAATTGTATTATTAAACTTCAAAATAAAGAAAACCTAACTTGCCCTACAGATGTCATGTAATAAAGAACTCAAATGCACAGTAATAATTTTACTGCCCACTGATAAGAAGGGTGCGATTGACTTCTTCTGCCGGCAGCTTGTCTGATAATCGTAGAGGCTCATAGGTTTTGATCAAGAGACAGGGACTTACCCTTTGGCAAATCTCATCATCCCTGGCCTTTTAGCTCACCCAACACATATGCCTTGCCTGTGCCTAGTGGAAACTCAAGTTACTGCTGCTGGTGCATGCAGTCATTATATCTGGTAAATTGAAGCTTTGTGGTACTTCAGTTAGATGAGCTCTGCAGTAATATTATTGGCTAAAGCAGAGCTACATAAAAGTGGTGATGGGAAGTTTTATAATTGTTAATATACCACTATCACAGAAATATTTCACTTTAATAACTAGATGCAGTTAATCATTGTATTCAGTATATGACTTTAATTTTTTGTTATGTATGTGTTAAATTTCAAAATTTCACAGATAGGGAGAGCTGTCCACCAAACTTACATGGGTTAGAACAAATTACTGCCAGTGCAATAGGTGCTTGCAATGGTCATTTTGTTTTCTTAAAATGTTGACCCTATTTAACCAAAACTAATGAAAAATAAAAACATACTACAGTTGCACAAGCCACCCCTAACAAGTTTATTGTTGTAAAATGTCACAAAAAATAATAATAATAAAAAAAATCAACTAATACACTATATAGCTACTGTATATGTATTACTATTGATGCTTCATCATCGCATCTACCTTCAAGTTTATATCACATGCAAATACCATGGTTTAACCTCTTGCCCTCCAGAGGATTTAACCCCTTTCTGACCAGGCCATTTTTTTTTACGATATGGCGCTGCATTACTTTAACTGATAATTGTGTGGTCATGCAACGCTGCACCTAAATGAAATTTACGTCCTTTTTCCCCCACAAATAGAGCTCACTTTCAGTGCTATTTGATCGCGTGTGTATTTTTCTTTTTTTTTATTTGCGCTATAAACAAAAAAAAACCCTACAATTTTGAGGGAAAAAAAAAAAAACAATATTTTTGACCTTTTGCTATTAAACATGTCCAGTAAAAAAATTTTCATAATCAAATGTCGTCATAAATTTAGGCCAAAATGTATTCTGCTATATGTCTTTGCTAAAAAAAAAAAATCCCAATACGTGTAACTTAATTGGTTTACGTGAAAGTTATAGTGGGGTATAGATACTGGAATTCTTTATATTTTATAAATAATGGCGGCGATCAACGACTTATAGCAGTACTGCAGCAGGCATTCTGAGACTGGGGGGAACTGACTTGGTGTCACTGACATCCCCAATGACACCATTACAGTGATCAGTGCTAATAAAAAGCACTGACACTGTACTAATGGCACTGGGTAGGAAGGGGTTAATATTTGGGGTGATCAAAGGGTTAACTGTGTTCTGTTTCACTATGTTGGCTGTGTGTATCACTGCAAGCACACTGGTTTGTATGGCTCTGCTATGCAGAGCCATACAAAGCAGTGTGCAGGTGCTGAAAGGGGAGAGGTCTGTGTTGTTTGTACACAGGTCTCTCCCCCATCTGAAGATTCTGAGCGGGTATTCTGAGACTGGGGGGAACTGACTTGGTGTCACTGACATCCCCAGTGACACCAAAACAGTGATCAGTGCTAATAAAAAGCAGTGACACTGTACTAATGGCACTGGGTAGGAAGGGGTTAATATTTGGGGTGATCAAAGGGTTAACTGTGTGCTGTTTCACTATGTTGGCTGTGTGTGTATCACTGTAAGCACACTGGTTTGTATGGCAAATACAAAGTAGTGTGCAGGTGCTGACAGGGGAGAGATCTGTGTTGTTTGTACACAAGTCTCTCCCCCATCGGAGATACTCGGAGATCACCGGGTGCTGGTGAATAATCACTAGCTGGGACCTTGTGATTGACAGCCGACGGCGGTGCGCCCCCTACCCAGAACTGCAAAATCACATATATATATATATACGTGATTTTGCGCACCCGTGTCACCCTGTAGCAGTATTCCTGCTACAGGGCAGCGCGGAACCAATAGGGTTTTGTTGATATAAATATAGTAAATAACCTCCTGACTGCCTGTTTTTTTTTTGAAGGGGGGGGTTACTGTCGGGCTACCAAAAATCAGGGTTGCACCATGTCCTCTTTGACATTGGCTGAGTTTGACAGGCAGTGCTTCTGTGTTAAATTTGCTATGGCTTTGATGAAAACCATGACAACTCCTACCTGTGAATAGCTTCCTCCAGTTCTGTTTTAGACTTTAGGTAGGCGAGGGAGTGCGTTTATGAAGGTAATAGGAAAACCAGATTTAAAGTACAACCCAAGGATCTTTTTTATATTTTAGAGTGCCAATATTCACTTTCCCACTTTACCCTCCAGAGCTGTCCTTGACTACCTTTTCAGTCCAGGCATCCGGCAGTGCTCTTCAGGGCAGAATGGCAATCTGTCATTCTGCCATTTCCTGTGAGTCCAACCTGTCATTTACATGCTACCGGGGCGGACTGACAACTCATGGGGCCCCCAGGCAATAGGGGATCATGGGGCCCCTGTGTCCGTGCCCAAACTCAAAAAAGCCTATGAAAAAGGTACCACGGGCATCTCATGTGGCCCCCTACTGACCTCAGGCCCCAAATGGTCAGTCCGCCCCTGCATGCTACCCTAGGGAGCATAGCATCACGTGGGAGCTTACATGCTTGGAGTTCTCCTTTAATACTTTTGAAAGTGTTTTTTTTTCTAGAAAACAAATAGCTGTGACAAAACAAATCACAAATTACCACTCTATAATCTTTTACAATTATAGATAAATTGGCACTTTGTCCATTCAGGACAAAGGGACATGTTCCTTTGACAGGTTCCCCTTTTCCAACAGCTCCGCTGCTGCTATTTTTATCTATCGGAGGATGTAATCCTTGTGTAAGCTATGTGTCTGTCTGTGTGGGAACTTACATGTGAATAATGAACTTCTACCCCATGTAGAGTTGTTCAGGTCTGGGGAATGGCCGAAGGACAGCATCCTAGGAGCAGGTCACATGCACTTCTATACCCAGAAGTAAAGATAGATGAACAGAGTGCCAGGGGAACATAGCAATGACAAGGGAGGATTGGCTGTCAAAAGAACATGCCTCTTCTCTAAATTTGCAAAATGCCACTTCTCTCTAAAGTGGGGCTCTGAACAGAATTTTAAATATTTTGATGGATAGGTAAATTATTTTACATGTATGTATTTCAAACATTCATTTAGCTGCTTGCCTGGAGTTCAGATTTAAACAAATACAGCCAACTGTCAGGTATCCTTAGTTTTACCCTTTGCATTACATATCGACCTGGCCAAAGGTATCAAGAAAAATAGCTGAATAAACTGACATTACTGGAAAGGAGAAGTACTGTCAGCAGCAATAATTGTTTTTACAGAAAATTTAAAAGGTTTCGCAAAAATAACTGATTGAAAAGTTACTTTTGTCCTATTTTGACTGGCGTTTTCCTTTAACTGGGTAATAATGAAACTAAAATGAGAAAGCACATTGATCTTCGACAATCCACTCTTCGCTACTAAGATGCATCAGTCCCTCAGTACATATACCTCATGAACGTCCCAAGTGCAGTGCTACTCTGCATCCTCTACCTTTTAGATCTTCAAACAAGGCTATTCTCCTTATTTATAAATTGTGCTTTTCAAACACAATGCATTTGAAATTAGAAAGTCGAGCAGCGTGAACCGAGAAATATTGCTTTGTGGCAGATAATCTTTAGATAGGATTTCCCCAGCGCTATTGGGAAAATGCAGCCTGCCAGGAAGCTGACAAACAACAACCTGCGGCATTTGAATTATTCATTTCAACATTGCCTGCAGGACAGCTACATGGCTGTACACTATCAGCACAGCAATATTCTCATGGAAGATTTGATGCTGGTCGTTTAATTCTGTTACATTTTATTTGATGCTTTACTTATGCAGATGCTAAAATGCTGCTTGTTCCTAGATCATACCAAGCTTTTCACAGTGGGGAAAAAAAAATGAATATTTGAAGAAGGAAGAGGAAATGTATTGCTGGATTCTGGCCTCAGTTATATACAGAACTGTAGTCCTTTTTGATTGTAGACTTTTGTAAGTCTATAGTAAACCACGAAAATATCAGAATGTAATCATTGTGTTTTTGCTAAGCAATATATTTAATTCACTGCAAGCATATAGCAATACTACATATTCCGCTTTTTTTTTTTTTTAAATTACACTGAATTTAATTTCACCAGAAGATGATACACCATACAGTATCCATGGGAATTTAGTGTTGTCACACTAGGCTACTCTCCTGATTTGAACTACAAACACTCCCCACTCTCCTCATATCCTTTACTTATACAGGAGGTACAGGGGTTGGAAAAAATTATGGAAACACCAGGTAAAAGAACAAAATTGTTATCTTATATGGTATTGAACTGCCTTTGGCATCAAAGACGACCTGAATTCTCCTGGGAATTGACAAATATAAGTCTTGGATGAAGGATAATGGAATCTGATACCAATCTTCATACAAAAATCGTTCCAGTTCTTGCAGAGATACCGGAGGCGGAAGACAAGCCCAAACCTTGTTGTCCAAAATTGACCATGTGGCTCTATGATATTGAGGTCTGGTGACTGTGATGCCCAGGGAAGATGCAAAACTGTCTTGATGCTTGTCAAACCATGATTTAAGAACACCAGATGTGTGCATTGGAGCATTATGATCTTGGTAAAGGGCGCTGTCTTTTGGAAACACCATGGGGTACACACGGTCAGCCAAATTTTGTACATAGTCAGTGCCAGTGACTCTACCTTTCAAGGTGATGATGGGGCCTTGCAGAATACCAAGATATGGCTGCCCAAACCATGATTGTAATGCCACCATGCTTTACTGTAGGGACAAGACATTCCTGGTTGTTAGTTGAGGATGATGTTCACCACATGTAAACAATTCCAAGTTCCAGGTTTGACTCACCGGACCATATTACAGTCATCCATTGATTGATAGCCCACGATTTATGGGTGTTGCGCCACTCTCTATTCTTCTGAACATTAAGATTGGTCACTAGTGGTTTAGCAGTTGCAGCTTGCCCATAAATGTTTTGCTTATAGAGTATCCTCTGCACAGTTTTTGTGGACACGGGCTTTGAAAGACTGAGATTGAGCTCAGTCACTCTTGCAGCAGCTATTTTCTTATTCCATGTCACAATCCTGCGCGATGTTCTTTTTGTCTTTGGGTCAGTTGACCATGTTCACCGTGCTTATGCTTATCAGACAATGTTTTCCAGGAAACTGTATAAGCGGTCATAACCTTTGATACTGTATCTCATGACACCTCAGATCAATTGGAAACTTCAGTCACAGAGGCAACAGCTAAGCGGGCACCAACAATTTGCCCTCTTTGAAGCTCAGTAAGCTCTGACATGACCCAGTATTACTAGCAGCTTTCACAGTGAATGATGAAAGTGAGGCTTCCCACCTGTTAGCTAGTTGTCTCATCACACAGCGGAAGCAAAATAATGTTACAGCACTTACGCTTTCAACACAAAACATGTCACTTTCACACCTGCAAATCATACCGTGTTTCCATATTTTTGTCTAACCACTTTATATTGCAGTTGACAGGAGATGGTCTATAAAAAAATTATTGAGTGTTAAATAGTGACCAGCTGCCAATCCCCCTTTGACCTGGTTAAACAAGGTATTGGGGAGCACTCAGAATCTGGTGCAGCTGTGCATGTAGCCAGTAAGCTTCTAACTTTGGCTTGTTCAGTTAAACTTTGGCAATATAACCTGGAAGCTGATTGGTTTCTATGCAGAGCTGCACTAGATTTTGCACTCTCCAGTTTTAGTAAATAACCCCCATTGCATAGGCTATTACCTTGCCTTCTTGTTGCTTACCTTGCAACAAAATTTGCCTTCTGCTGGTCTTTTTTAACGAAGAGTCTCCAGTAGTTAAATTTAAACTAGGCCAGTTTCTACTAGTTCAATAATAAATGATGATAAAATACTGTATGCATCATCTTTCCCAAAGTGTTATTCTACAAATTGCACTAAAAAGAATGAGCTCAGTTTTTGATATGTCAATACAATACAAATTATACTTTAAAAAAATCAAATCTTTTTTTTTGTATGCCTTAAGATGATTTTTAATCAACATTTCCATAGAAAGCCTTGCATCTTAATTTCTACTTTCTGCTTATTCATCATACTAAGCACATAGATCAATGCAGTGCTTAGTGGTGTTGTCTTAGTAGCTTAGATTATTTGTCATTACAATTAATACCCAATTATTGAGCCTGAAAGCTTGAAGAGCTTTGTAAATTGTTGTCAGGGATATGCTGAATGTAATTTTTCTTAATATGCATAATAGGACAGGTAAACAGACTGGGGTTTACTTACTAAAGCTAGAGTGTGCAAAATCAGGCTCACTTCTGCATAGAAACCAATCGGCTTCTAACATCAGTTGTTCAATTAAGCTTTGGCAATAAAACCTGAAGCTGATTGGTTTCTATGGAGAAGTGAGTCTGATTTTGCACTCTCCAGCTTTAGTAAATAAACCCCATTGTGTGTGTGTGTGTGTGTGTGTGTGTGTGTGTGTATTGTGATATTGGGGAATGTTAGTTTAGTGGTAGTAGCTTCTTCAGTGAGCCAGTGCCAGTCTGAACTGTGGTTTAAGGCTTGTTGGCCCACTTTTGTTAAACAAAATTAAAGTTCCACAGAAAACAGTTACCTGCACAGAGGATTTTCAACATTAAAAACAGTTCATGAATAAATTCCAAGCTACCTGGCTTCCTCTTCAGCAGCTATGGTGCTTGGCATTTGTCTGATACTTTTGACCTGTTCACATACTACCTAAGTGTTTCTGTGTCCTCCTCTTGGCTCTGCAGGCTATCTCGGCTGTTTCAGTTGCAGCATCCTGCTGCATGGGCACACTCCCCGGCCTCTTGGTAGGGGATTCTCCTGGCAGCCCAGGCTCTTTCACTTCTAGAATCTCTCAGTCCACTCGATTTGTCTATTCATCTCGGCTCTCCTAGTTTGGTTTAGCCATCTCAGCTCTTTCAGCACAATGGACAAGAATCCTTTACTCAAGCATTGAGTGCTGTATTTTGTATGCAGCACATCTGTTTTCTAAGGAGAGCCCTGAACTATGACAAGTCCTTCATTATAAGTGCTGTGTGCACTTGCATTCATAGCCTTATAGTCTTCTGCAAGACATAGACACTGGATTGGATATTTCTTCCTTCCCCAATTTATTTGAAAGCTCCAAACTCTAGAATCCAATCCAGGAATACAAAACCCAGAGAAAGGTATAAAAATAGTTTTTCTCCACTCATACTCAGTACTCCGTAGTTCTGCAAGTAAGCGTGAGAACCCTCTGCCATTTATATTACAGTTTTCATAGTGGCAGGGTACAGTATCAAAGGTTATGACTGCATATACAGATTGTGGGAATACGTCATGTGATAAGCATAAGCACGGTCAACATGGCCAACTGACCAAAAGAGACAAAAAGGACATTGCGAAGGATTGTTACATAGTTACATAGTTAGTCTGGCTGAAAAAGACAAACGTCCATCCAGTTCAACCATAAAAAAAAAAAAAAATGTTTAATCCTACACCAACAGTTGATCCAGAGGAAGGCAAAAAACCCAGCAAAGCATGATTCAATTTGCACCTGCAGGGGAACAAATTTCCTTCCTGATCCCCCGAGAGGCAATCGGATATTCCCTGGATCGACCTTTCCTATAAATGTTAGTAACCAGTTATAGTCTGTGTATCGAAGAAAGAATCCAGGCCTTTTTTAAAGCAATCCACCAACTCTTGAGGGAGTCTATTCCACATTTTCACAGCTCTTACTGTGAAGAAACGTTTTCGTATTTGGAGATTAAATTTCTTTTCCTCCAGATGTAAAGAGTGCCCCCTTGTCCTTTTTGATGACCTCAATAAGAAAACAACTGCTACAAAAGTGACTACTGAGCTCAATCTCAGTCCAGTGAAGACAGCAGAAGCAAAATAATAAAACAAATGACATAAAGTATTGTTGTCTCTGCGCTACCCAGTGATCGACTGATTAACACAAGCAAAAACAAAAAAACAGAAAACTGATTGCAGCCAGCATTGATATGTGTTCCTGCACAAGTGATCATATTCCTTGAAAAAGTGCAGCACAATCACCATGTAATCAAAAAGAAATGCACTACTTGAATGCGTGAATGTGAAAATCCAGCTTCAATGCAATGCGACCTAACCGTTTAGAGTGGAATATGAATTCTAGCAAACAAATGACACTGATCCTCTCAATGCCACTACTGAAAATATTAGTCAGTACTCGTAGACACCGTCAGCACCTTAGTTTACAGAAAAACTAAGTAAGAGGTTCCAAGAGGCCAATGCCCTTTGATGGGTTGTAGCAGCTATTCGTAAGTAAGTGAGTGAATAATAATAATAATAATAAAGGGTCTATTTGTCAGTGTTTTACCTAAAGGGGCACACAAATTTTAAATTTTCACAGATTTTTCTAATTAAATTTGCATGAATTTTGGACAAAATGATGAAAACATTGAATTGGACCTCTATATCTATCATAAGATAGTATGAAAATGAATTTGTCTGCATTTTTACATTCTCAAAATCTTCTTTAAAACCTGCCTGGCAACAGCTGATTTACTGCCACTTGTATCAAATACATAAGAAATAGAACCATAAACACATGTACCGATAGAGGTACGTTTTGCAAAGGGCATCAACCTACCTCTGACCTGCTGTATAATAGACACTACCTGCAATTGGAAATAATTTGCATATGATACATTTTACACATGCTACAGGCACGATGCTTTGCATGGTCAGTGGGATTTGGTTTTCAAATGGTCTATAGTCGTCGGTAGTGATGGGGCCGAACACCCCCGTGTTCGGTTCGTGGTCGAACCTAATGAACGTTCGACCGCAAAATTCAAACTTAATGCAGGTCTAAGGGACTCGAACTATGAGTAAGGTCTTATTTGACTGAAACACGTTAGTGTTGCTTGTCTTCTGGAACGCTTTTTACTCTGCATTCAAATAAAGTCTCTACAGTTCATTCTCACCTTGTTGCCGATCCTATATGATTGGTTTATATGCAAGTTATTGGCCATAAAAGGGGTATGTGGATTCGGGTAATGCCCTGAGGGACATCAATCAGTGAAAAAAAAAAAATGTCACGTACCGTTTAAAGGGGCAGTCATTTTTCATTGCCATACGGTAAAAAAAAAAAGAAAAATTCCTTTAAATATCATGCTTGGGGGTCCCCTTAAAAACTGCCATGTTGCTCATCTGTACAATGTATAGAGCTTGCTGCAGCAGGACTGACATTTTTTTTTTAAATGTACAGCATGGGTCTCCCCCAATCCATACCAGACCCTTTAGGTCTGGTAGGAAGGTTAGGAGGGATCCCACAATCAATTTTTTTTTTAAGTGCATGGGGTTCCCCCTAAAACCATACCAGGCCATTTAGGCCTGGTGAGGCTTTTAAGGGGAACCCCACCCTCCAAAATGGGTAAAAAAAAGTGTGGGGTCCCCCCTAAATATCTACCAGACCTTTTATCAAAACATAGGCCTAGCAGGGCAAGAAAAGGGGGGTGATCAAGTGCCACCCTCCCTGTAGTGATTTTGGCTTGGCATGGGGACAGTGTCCAGGGGCCTCTTCCCCACAACCCTGGCCCAGTGGTTGTGAGGGTCTGCAGGCAGGGGGGCTCAATAGCATCAGGGTACACCTTTAAAGAAAGAGACACCCTGATGCTGCCCCACCCTTTTGAATGAGTAAGGGGTACTTGTACCCCTACCCATTCACTAAAGGGTTAAATTCAGTAAAAAATAAGAGACCAGTCTTTTGAAAAATTCCTTTAACTGCTTTCCTGCCATTGTATGCTGCAATTTTAGTAAGCCAGAAAGTGAATGAGGGGAAAGGAGGTCCTATCAATTACAAGGGAAATTTTACTGGGTCATCACTAAGTGAGCAAACAGTCAAATGGACTTGGATTAGCCATCATACCTATACAAAGTAAAAAAAATCAGTTGCCCTTAGAAAGGAGCAGAAGTTAGCTACAGTTCAGCTGGGGACTGGGCTCTAAAGAACAAATAGACCATGAAGCATGCCCTAAATTGTGACTCGGTTAAAATGGATCGATACAACTATATAGGGGTCTGTGGTTCCCACGAAGTGTGCGCATTTACTAAGAGCTCACGGCAATAGCACAAGTGCAATAACTCTTTGTAGGGGAGTTAGTACTCCTTCAGTAATATCCCGATTAACCATGAGGCCACAAGATGACAATGGTCCAGCACTCTCTAATATGATAGACCTGGATGTTACTGGGGGAAACAGTGGGCCCATTAACTACAAGGCAAGGTTTACTGAGACATCCCCAGAGTGAGCAAACAGTCGAGCTGACCTGGGTTAAGCCACCATATCAGCTAAAAGTGCACTTGCCAAAAGTGAGCTTGCAGCAATAGCACAAGTACAATAACCTCCTATAGGGGAGCCATTGCTCCTTCAGGTAATATCCTGATTAGCCATAAGGCCAAAGAGATGCATTAGAGACACCTACGAATTGTCAGCTCAATGTACTTCCAAGGAGACAATCATTCTTTATTTTAAAAGGCCCGGAAGAGACTAAGGATGACAGAGAGCCTAATAACTACAAGATAAAGTTTACTGGGATGTCCCTCGGGTGGGCAAACTGTAAATTGACTAGGGTTAGCCACATCTACCATAAATGCACTATAAGCTAACGAATAGACTGCCCTTAGAAAGGAGAAGTGCATTGACATTTATAGAGCTGGACCCCGTAGAACAAATAGGTCAAAGGGCAGATTTCATCAACTGTTTCTCAGTAAAACTCGCACTATACAGCCAAATAGGGCTGTGGGGTCCCCAGTCAGTGTGTGCATGACTAGAAGAGCATGTCAATAACACAAGCAAAAAAAAACCATGCAGTGTGCTCCTTTTAAATATAATAGCCAGGATGGTAATGAGGCCAAAGAGATGTAGTTGAGTCACCTGTGAGGCTACACATTGTCAGTGCTATGCACTTGCAAGATAACATGGCTCTGCATGTGTGGGAAAATAGAAAAGTTGATTTTTTTATATAAAAAATTGATTGAAAACGACAAAAGTTATTATGAAAAAATAGGAACTATCCAGTAAGGGCTAGTTCACACCTGAGGCCAGAGGGATGGGAAAATAGGTAGTTGAGCCATGCCTCTACAGCCCCTATAATCTAAGACCAAGGTTGGAGGGAGTTGTACACATGCTGCTCCCAGTTTAAGTGGTATTCAGGGGTGGACTGACAACTCATGGGGCCCCCGGGCAATAGGGGATCATGGGGCCCCTGTGTCCTTGCCCAAACTCAAAAAAGCCTATGAAAAAGGTACCAGGGGCATCTCATGGTGCCCCCTACTGAACCCGGGCCCTTGGGCAGTGCCCGAGTTTCCAAATGTTCAGTCCGCCCTGGTGGTAATGTAATGCGATTGCAGCCTTCTCATACCATGGCAACTTACACTAGTTGCATTTATGATATTTTTATTAAAATTTAAAAACGAATTTGTTAGATTTTATATTTGTCTGGAGTTAAGCTTTAAGATCTAAAAACAGTATACCATTCACCTAGATTACTCATTGTGGCTGAACTTTATTAGCCTTTGCAACTGATCTACGGAGACACTGCCATTTCTTCTTTTCCTCTGCAACCCTGAAAGGATTTATACATTAACATTGTTAATTATATCATTTGTTGTCTGGAGGAAGTAGTAATGCATCCACAGAGGCAGCATACGTCGTATGATTGGAAGTAGCTATTACACAGTTAGAGCATTGTTAATGACTCAGAGAATTCATGACAAAACATGTCAGGAAATATAATTTCCTCCTTGTCCTGAAATATTCTATTGCTCATCATCCAGCTGCTGTGAAAACAGTTCACGCAGCTTTTGTTTTCCATACATTGTTGAGGAATTTTAGAGGAGTGTTATCTGCCGATTTAGTTTTCCAGAATATAAAAAACTCTACAAAAATAGTGGCATAGCCAGTCTTCCAATATGCAGAAATTTCTGATAGCATTCTGGTCAAAATAAACTGCCATACTTTAGTGAGCATATCAGGAAAATGATCAAAATCATCAGCTATCTTTTCTAGTTATCATGAAAGGAAATAATACACAAGACAGTAAAGAATGGAATATTAGAACAGTCTTAAAGAACATCTGTCAACAATTTTAAATTTTAAAGCCGAAACCCAAAAACAAAAAATGTATTAAATTGCAGCTCAATATTTCCTAGATATGGTGGCTGGATTAGTCTTCTATTTTTGGCTTTTTTCCTTTATTTTCACCTGGTTATCCAACCAGTAAGTCTGTTTTTTTCTTTTTTTTTTAACCTTCCTCAACAAAACCAAGCTGTCCAGATTAGGTAGCAGTTAGGGGGTTGAGACAAACCTTTTACCAATGACAGGGGTTCTTAAAATGGTAAGATGTAAAATCTTTATTCCAAAAGAAAAAAAAAATCAGTTTGCTGTAACTACTTATAGTATAACTTATACTATAACTACTTGCTAGATGGAGTTCAGCTTCAATTTGTTAAAGTCCATAAATCTGAGAGTCTTTTCCCTGGACTGGCAATGCTGTTGTCCAAAGGTATTTGTTTAAATACTTCATCCAGAATGCAGAGACCCTAAAACAGGAAGTGCGTTACTGTTTGGATCACTAAGTGAAATAAGGGGAAAATACCTTACAAAAAAAAAAACAAATGCAGTTACCTCATCTACAGAATGATAAACTGTAATAAAATACAGTTTTGGGGGGTTTAATACCACTTTAAAGCCAGGACCCTGCATTTACTATATCTGGTCTCCCACAGGACACAGAACATGGAAGTGCAATTATTTTAGTTAATATAAACTACTAAATACCTTTTCTCATACGCAGTATAGAGCAGTCTCGTGACTTCTATCAGTGCCCAGCTGAGTACATGTTAAAGCTTGTAGGAGGGAGTTTTCATTTTGCTTTAGGAGGCTGCAGGACCTCTTTCTGGACAGTGCTGATTGGCCCTGTGCTAATCACATACACTCTTCCAAGGAAAAAAAAGCAATACACACCAAATTGAGCATGTGCAGAATGACTCCACACAATATATCTTACCAGGAGATAAGAGGGGGACACTGGACGAAGGGGAGGATCAGAGAAGTCAGGATAAAACAGCCTTTTTACACAATGCAGAGTGCAGAGGATTGACCCCTTAGGTTCCACAGTGAGTATAACAAGCATGCTTTACTTGCATATACAGACTGATTTTACTGTTGTGGGTTTAGTAACACTTTAAAGAATATAGAGGCCTCTTTTTTTAAATTGCTTTCTCTGTCCTTAAGTACTGCTGCTGCAATGTGCCTATCTTTTTTAGCCTGAAAATCTATTTATTGTGCTTCAAGTATTTTAACTAGGACATGCATTGAAGGGAAATCTCCATCATCCCTCACAGTTATTACCTTTTGTATCACTTGACCTTCCCTTTTAGATTGTAAGCCTTAATGAGCAGGGCCCCTGATTCCTCTTGTTTTGAGTTGTATTGTAATTGTACTACCTGTGCTCATGTTGCAAAGTGCTGCAGAAAATGTTAGCACAATATATAATGTATGTACAATAATACTAATTGGATGCTGCTATTTTGAAGGTCTTGATTAGATAGAAAAGTGGCAGTTGGAGTGGCTAAATCCTGCATTCAGGCACACAAAGGAGGGGTTTCAGATTAAATATGCATAGCCCCTATAGTCTTATTTGTAGGGACCGTGTCTCTTTTGGAGCAAAATACCTGTTGTCCCTATTTCCTATTCAGTTTTCCCTTTTCTTTTTTTTAAATACTACAGATCTGAACACAGGTGCATTTTTTTTTGTCCATGGGACAATGCACACTGGTGTGTAAAGATCCATAATGCAGTGGTGCATTTGCAGCGTAAAGATAAAAACTACAGAAAATTTTACGTAAATATGTTATATTCAATTATATGTGATGTGCACTTAAGTTACACTGGCAGCTAGAAGAGGATGAAGAATTGGAATCCGTATTTTTCCACTGTTGTCATCCATTGCAGGCCGTTTTTTTCCTTGATTACTAAAATATGACGGTGCCACTGGATGTAGAAAAAAGAAACTACAAAAAAAAGAAATTAAAAAAATATCACCAAAAAGAGCAGCTATCTAATTCTTGAAGGAGTTGCAGTAGTCAGCGTGTGCTTCTGCAGATCGTTGCTCCCAGAGCCAAAGCACTTTTAGCTGGTTTATCATTTTATCAGCATGGAGCTCTGGTGAGTTTATTCAATTCATTTGGTGGTGGATATCACGTGGTTTTGGTTTATACAACACAGAAGGATTAATAAGAAGAAATTCTGAGGAATATATATATATATATATATATATATATATATATTGACTTTTCACTATATATATTTAAGAACACTTACTGTTTCTCACATATATATTCTTATTATTATGGCCAAATTTACCACCCTAACTCTCCCACAGTTTTTACACTACATAGACAGTAATATACCGAAACGTGCGGATTGTTCCCGATTGGTGTGCTATTACTTTGTGGAACGTTTCGCCGAATGGTTCACGAAATATCTGCGTTTTTGTGGTGAAATTGGTTCCATAGGAATGAATGGCGGAATGTTCAAAACTAGAGCTGGAGCTGACAAAAGCTAGATTGTGAGCTGGAAAATCAGGACATGATTTCTAAACTGCCATCACTTCCTCATTTCCAAGCCCACCTACACAAATCTTATATCAAAACGTTCCGCTATCCCTGCTGCCACTTAAAATGTCCAAGGCTAAGCCATAGCCCTGATAGTTTTCACAATATGACCATTTGTTTGCAACTCACGCCGCTCATTGACATTCATTGAAGCTGTACTCTAGCCACCTCAAATTTAAAGGGCAATTTCTAAACTGCGACTGTGCCTTCATTTTTAATATTTCAGAGACATACTATGCATCAAAATGTAGGTCAGGGTCTTGTGATTCTCACAATATAAAGCTCTTTGGTGTAGAATTTATAATTTTTAAACTACAACTGTTTGAAGATGGCAACTGCCAGTCAAGTGAGCAAGTTGGAGCAGTTTGTTTTTAACCGCTCTTCTCTGCCCTTGCTGTAGAGTGAGTTGCCATAGGAACCCATGTGTGTGAGCAGGCAGCAGAGTGACAAGCCACTCCACCCAGTTGTAGACTACTGGTGGAGGCAAGAACACTTCACAGAAGAAATTGTAGCTTTTCTAGTTATTTATTGATTTTCCTTTGTGTACATTAATATTTATGCTTATATTTTTTTGAGGTTGCACAAAGAGGTATATTATTAGTGAGGAGTGCTGTTCTACCTGATTAATTATCCGTTTTGCCTTTATGGTATTTATATGTATTGGTCAGCACTTATAACAGAGATGTATCTATTGCTTTCTGCCTGTGGAAGTGGGTTTTTGTCCCGTGAAACATGTTGAAGTTGTAAGCAATCAACACCCCATTTATTACATCACAAGTGGGGATAATGCTTTTCACTGTTTTTCTCTGATGCTGTACCATGTAGATTATGTATTTGTATCATTTCAAGATGCATTTTTGTGCTCTGGTGATAGGGTTTTTGTAATTCCTTTTATTTAGTTGCCACTCTGTAGGTAGAATTGTTGCTAGGCAAAAGTATATTTAGCTCACTGTACTGAGTGAGCTGATCTGCTAGTGAGGTCTGCTCTGTGTGGTCAAGTGCTGCTGGTCTTGCTAGCTTCCTCTCTATCCAGGAGACTGCAGAAAATTCTGGATAAGGTGTAGAGCTATGCAGATAGCAGCATGATTATTAATACAGCCTCAGCTTATCCCAGAGCGAGGGACTCCAAGGCATGCTGGGTAACTGTATATATTCAGTGGGCACACAGGGTTCTGGGTCTTTCCTGGATAGGATTGCCCAAGCCTGTGGGAAGGCATGTTGCTCTCCCCCAGGCAGATGCTGCCATGGGCCTCAGGTGGGCTACCTGAGGACCTGAATTGCTGAGACCAAGGTTCTGCTATGCTGACTAAAGGGGCTGTCTCCTGAAGATCTGGTCTGGATCAGAGGAAGGCGTCCAGTGTCTCTTTGGCCTCGCGAATACAGATATCCTCAAGGATCCTAGAGACTGTGTGCTTGTAACCCCCCCTTTGGTGATAGGAAGTAAGCTGCGGGTTTGGCAAAGGGAATACCAAATAGAGTTCAATGTACATAGTTCCAAAGCTGGATTATCGAATTCATCTCCCTCATCCCTACAAAAATAAAAACAACAAAACAACACCCCTAGACTGATTATTAGAGAAATGAGTGAATGAGCCTCTGTGCCTGGCTGCGGGGCAAGATATTTGGGGAAGGACCTGGACAGTATTCCAGTGGCTTCTATGGGAGTAGCACTACATATGTATAAATAAAATGTAACTACTTTTTTATATAACATTTGGTGTGT